TAACTACAGAAGCACACGCCGGAATAGTGAATAATATATTCGAAATTATTAACCCTAAACAGAACGAAATGTTCGAAATAAACACCAACACAAAGCACACAATAACACGCACACACAGCGCTCGCCAACTACAGCAACACACAACAGCACACACACACACACATATAGGGGGCATACGACAGTAACCTTCTGCAAATTGTTCACCAGCGTTGCACTATTTCGTCTTAGGAAAAGGCTCTTTTCGGTAAAATTCGGCACCACAGTGCACTAATTTGCATTATACACGCAAGCTAATTCCCTCCTTGACGCCGAGAAGGCATTATAATATTGGACTTGTCGTGTATAATTGCGTCATTTCGTCAAGTGACGTAGCCATGGTGACAAGTCGACAAATTTTGTGTTTGAAATGGGATCCGACTACTGTGTAGAAATGCGCATCATTTAGCTGGAAAAAGTTTCGAGCGGAGTATAGAGCTTGAATCTGTGGTTATTTAACATAAATAAAGTGTATGTTGTGTATGCGACGAAACATTGTGAGTATTTTTGGATGATTTCTGTTCGATGCTTATTCAGGCCTGCTGCCCATGGACGCCTTTTACTGTTATACACCACCTATATAAATGGCAGCTGTTGTAGTAGTGTGGATATTTCGGGGGTGTGTAACTCACAGGAGCAGCTAGTAGACTAGATCAGGATGGATAGATTGAACTCACAGTATAGATGGAATAGCCATATATTGACTAAAGAGAGAATAAATTATAGCCAGCACATAGAAAGCGCGCACGTCCATGGGCGCGGCCATCTTGGATCATACTATCACGTACTAATATGGTCAGGGAAAACAAGGAGTGGATACGCGGAAAGTGGTAACGCAAGATAAATAGAATATAATATTCTGCGCGGTTATGTACTATTGGTCAGCATAATATATGAGGAGATTTGAATAGAATGAATAGCCTAAGTTGTCGAAGAGAGGAATATTTACTTAGAAACGAGTTGCATAGGATGATGCAATCATTGTACCAGCTACGGGTTGCATAAGGTGATGCAATCATGGTACCAGCACCGGGTTGCATAAGGTGATGCAATTATGGTACCAGCACCGGGTTGCGTCAGCAGGTGAAACGTACGGTTTCACCAGCTAACGAAATCTGCGTTGCCAGCTAGGTATATAAGGCGCACCGAACCGAGCAGCGGAAGCGTTAGAGGAAGAGGAAGAGGAAGAAGAGAAAGAGAAAGAGAGCGTTATTTTTCAGGGCTAGGTAGAAAGAAGAAGAAGGAGAGGAAGAAGAAGCAGAAGGAGAAGAGAAAGAGGGAGAGCGTTATTTTTCAGGGCTAGGTAGGAAGAAGAAGAAGAGGAAGAAGAAGCAGAAGGTGCCTATATGAAAAGTATTTTACAAAAAAGAATCGTATGAGCGAATCGCGCGATGTGTACGCAGACTATCCCAATTAAGAGAAGCCCAATATATTACTGCGACCTATTATCTACTTCTGATATGTATTTATGTATGTATGTAGATACGTATATCACGTCACCTATTCTCTTCGGGTCTCGTGGCATTTAAGGGGCACAAAATATCTTAACGCTGTTGGTTGCAATACACCCTAGCCCGAATCCTAAACCTAGCCCTAATGCAATCCCACTGATTTTTGTGTTATGGGGGTAATCCCAGAGCGTCACATCTTGGCCCTCTGGGGTCATTACGCTTATGAAGGTTGGCACCTGCAGTGGCAAGACGTTCTAGATCATCCTGCTAATTTTTTAGGTTAATCCAGAACACAGCCGCTCCAATCTTAAATCCGTGGTTATATGACATGATTAAAGTGTATGTTGTAATAACCCCGTTTTCTTAAACATTACCGTGTTTAATGGGTACGCGGCTGCAGCATGATTCGGCTTGTATTTTTTATAGTGTCCTGCTGACCAATGGGCATCTCATCACTGTCAGCGGCTAGAGCTTACTCCGTTCTAATCAAGAATTAGCCGGGCTCCAGCAATTGCTCTTAGCCTCCTGTCAGGAGCAAAGCATTGGTCCCCTGTATACTCTAGAAAGCAACTACTCTACAATTTTAGCCCGGCAAAACCAATTAGTACTCCGCCTTTGCAAACAAGAATAAATGACGAAACATCTTCGGATGCGCATGTTAATTAAAAGTAATAACATCGAATCGACGTGACAGACCTGTAGAATCCGTGAAGTAGTCTGTTTCAAGAACCGAGTAGTACTCTCTTAGATATTTGTTCAATGTGTCAATCCAAGAGCTTCTATGCTGTGAAAGTCCAGTGCGAATAAAGATTTAATTAGTAATTACTACACTAGCTGGCACTCTCGTGCTCGGCGAAACTTAAACATCATTGACATCTTCAGCCTAGCTCTGACCAACCAAATTCTTATACATGCGCATCTGAACCTGGGACCGCAACAAGAGTCACGGCACAGCGATGAGCGAGAAAAGCAGAGTTTCATTGGAAACGCGGAGTTCTATGGAAAGGGAAACTGGAGGTCGGGAGTCTAATCATTTATTTTCAAATATGATTCCTAAATATGATGTTTTAAGTTAAATTCGGAAAGGTGTCTGATGAAGTTGGCTTAGCCGAGGCTTGTGATTTTACTTAGTGGTATCATAGACCAAGAATCATAGAATATCAAGACACGACACACCGCTATTTTTGTCGTTACCCGATGTACAGAGACGCCGCCTCGTGTTAGGTGCGTAGCCTTGCCGGAACACGAATTGTCAATAATGGAGGTTTCTGTGATATCAGAGATAACTTGGAAATATTAAAGCTTTGTCGGCAACGATTTTTAGAAAAACTTAAATAAAAGTTAAGAACTATAGCGTGCATGGGATTATATTAACCTTATTGTATTAGCTGTTGACGCACGCACGCACGCACGCACGCACGCACGCACGCACGCACGCACACACACACACACACACACAATAAACATTTACAGTTT